AAATGCTGCTGCCTGGCAGCTCCCCCCCTCTCCCCAGCTCTTCTATGGGGGCAAGCAAAGCTGAGCTCCAGCCTCTGGGTCTCTCGAGGGGGGGTTTGTTTCATCTTACTTACAGAGACACACCATGGACCATTTCAAGCAACCATGAAAACGGCCGCGGGGGAGAAACATCGGCGGCCCAGCTTCACGATCTGCAAGTAAAATAAAACATACGCTATCAGGAGAGACCAGAGGCGGGGGTATGCCTTCTCCTACCCCCAAGGCTTTATGATCTCAGCGGGGAGATCCGGTTGGGACCTGCAAGTTTCCTTCCAGTGGTGAGACCCTTACAAATTCTCACCCCTCTTTTCGAGATGCTCAGGAACAGCAAGGCTGTGAGGCTGTGGCCTTGAGATCACTACTCTAATCTGTGCAGCAGGCTCAGGAGACCGTTCCTAAGTAAATGTCCTGCTGATCGGCACCCTGGTGTGGCTTGCCTGCGTGTGTTATCCTGAAATTATAGCCGGAGGTAAGCAACTGGCAGTCTTCATGCCAAATCAGACTTGGTTGCCCTTTGGCCCACTGACGAAAAAGAAGACTCTTCCCTTCCCTTCCACATCAGTCATGCATTTATTAATCTGCACATCACAAGGATATTGCTTCAATATCAGCTCAGTGCTAAAGCAAGGTATTTTGCAAAAAGAGAAGCCGTGCAGGACTGCCCCAGTAAGGAATCTGCAACGTCCGTGAGGTCCCTCACTGAATAGTTACCCAACCCATTATCCTCTTCCATAAGGCTCGGCTGAAAGTGCAGGGAGGGGAGGGCAGGCTGAGAAACAGGTAGACTCGCATTCTGAAAAGCACGCTTTACTGTGTTATATATTTAGGCTCTTTTCAACCCTACAAATATCCTGAAAGCCTCAAGTTTCAAAATATATCAGGAGAGGCTAAATTAGGTTGGCAGCTGACAGCCAGGGTTGGTAGGCTGGTGAAGGATGGTCCACCCCGTTGTTTGCAGGTGTCCCTCCCCAGAGCAAAAACACAGCTTTTTCCCCTTCTCGTAAACTAAGGAAATGAAGAATTGGGTCAGCTCACGCCACAAAGGCGGGAAGGAAACTGCTGAGTGTAGCTGGTGCCTTTGTGGGGCTCCTGCCTCGAAGGCAAAGATCTGGAAAGCAAAGGCTGGTCCAGGCAGCGCCCAAACCAAGTGGGGTTGGCTTTGGTGCTTCAGCGATCCAGGACCAGTCTGGAACGCAGGTCCTTCGCTTCAGGGAGAGCTGGTCTAGCTGCCTAAAGATGGTGCCCAAGGACGGGCAAGCCGCTCATCTTGCCTGCCTGCGTGCGTGCGAGAGAGAAAGTCCAGGTGCCCGGGCGAAGTGTTCATTGGAGCTAGCCTCAACGTTTTACAAATTCGGCTGACGGTCTGCCAGGGAGGTCCTCCTTCCCTGGCTTGCAGAAGAACCCGGTGTGCTCCTGCACCTTCCACAATGCGCGTACAGGTACCAGACGATGCTCCTGAGCTGAGCCAGTGGAAGCGTTCCACAGAAAGGGCTGGAGAAGCACCAGATGGGAGCTGATCTCTGCCTTCCCTTCGCACCTTGGTGGGTTTCCAAGGCTGGGCCTGCCTGGGAACTCGGGGGGGGGGGCTTAGGGGTCTGCTCCAATGGCTGGGGGCTCCCACCAAAGGCAACGCCCTGGGCCAGGTTCCCAGGCGTGGACCCTCAACCCAAGAGCTGAACGTAGCTCAGCTCTTCGTCCTGGCAAAGCGCCAGCTGTCAAAATTCCTCCCTTCCCAGCCTTCCCCCTTCTAAGCCGGTAAATGCATCCTCACATTACTCGTGGGGAAAATAGCTATTCTGGTATGGCTGGGGTGGGTGTGAGGAGCTCTCCTTTAGGGGAATCATAGAAATGAGCAAGGAGCCCCTCCTCTGCGCTGAGGATAACGAAAAGCAAACCTGGACAGAATCCGGGTCCTAATTAGAGAACGTTTGGTTCAAAGAGGAAGGCTCAAATTGACTTAGAGACTGATTCAGGATCAGGAAGGGGGGGGGAGAAAAGCACCCCCTCCATAAAGAGGCTGGAGGATTTCCTGGGGCTCGGCCGCAACCTGCCAAACCTTAGGAGGGGGAAGACGAAAGAGGAATTCTCTCTCAATTCTGAAGTTGCTAATTTTGAGCCGGGCGCTACAGCTTGGAGCTGAACAGTGAAGCGATCTGGCGCACGGAGCTGTTCTCGCAGCAACTATTTTGGGGCTTCGGCACCAAGCCCCGTGCTGCAGAGACGGCAACCCATCTGCCGTTGGATCTTTCACCTGCAAGCGAAGGAAAGGCGCCCATCTGCCACAGCAGCCGCAGCCAATGCCCTGCTACTCGGGCCACGCTGATGCCACTCCGGATCCCGCAGAGCTGGTGGTGGTTCCAGAAGGGGGGCACCGTGGGCGACTGGGCTGCCGGATGGCGACCTGCTGGCGGAGGGGCGGCTCTCAGCCAAGCCAGAGCTGCCCAATGCTCCCATCAGCCAAGCCAAAGAACAAAATCCAGATATAGACAACAATCAGACGCTGGTGGGCGAATCTTAACAGCAGCGGAGGAACACTTGAAAACCGCCAACCGGCTCAGGGAGTGCAGGAAAGCGCACCCCTGCCTGGTGCCCTGCCTCGCTCTCCTCCGGCTGGGCTACCTTTAAGGGAAGGGAGGCGGCTGCCTTTGGCACAACTTCTGGAGGCAGCAGGGAGAGGTTGTCATGGGAGCTGTGTGCCAGGCTGTTGGTCCTGAGCCCTCCGGCTAGGCTGCCCCCTGCCCTCTTGGGGGGCCTCTTGGGGGGTGCGGTTTCCAGAAGCCGCTGGAAGAGAACCCAGTTGGCCTTCCTACCCAGAACGGGAGTGGTCAGCATTTGGCTCCGGGGCCCAAGCCACACAATGCCTTGTAGTGGCCCTTGCCCGGCCAGAGGTTGACTCACGAGGGGGACGCGGCTGAGAAGCCAGTCTCCGGGTAAAGCGAGCCCTGAGGTCTTCTGCGAATGACCTTCTGGAAATTATACAACCTGGGTGCATTGAAAGCTCCCATGGAGCAAGTCACACTGCTTGGCACACTGCCAGCTGGAAGGAGCAGCAGCTCTCCGGTCAGAGAGTCTTTCGCAGCTTCTCCTCTCTGGACCCCGGTTTCACTTGTAGACCTTGTAGGAGGACAGCTGAGTCTGTCTACAGGAGTCAGAGATCAGGAAGAGTCTGGTGGCACCTTTTCTGACCAACGAAGCTCAGCTTCTAATTATTGGTTTCGTTTGGAAACGCTGTGAAGGAACCCTGGAGTTTCCACCTCTAAAACTGGCCTCTGCTAACGAGCAACGTCTCCTTTCCTGCGCACTCAGCCAGGTGATGGTTGTTCCTTCGAGTCCAGTGTTATTCTCTAAGACCTCCGATACCTGAGAGCCTCTGATCGTGCATTATCAAGAACTGAATCCACCCCCTCTTTGGCGTGCTAAGAGCACATGCTGCCTCTGGGCCATGCACTGCCTGGACCCCCCGGACCACGCAGGAAGCTCCATCAGCCTCGTTCTGGGCCCATCAGACAGAACGTGAGGAGCTGCCAGAAATCCACACAAGGCCGGCAGATCCCACGCTGTGCAGGGCTCTGCTTGAGCAAGGCGGACATCTCCCACCTGCCCGAACTGCCCAAGCACCAAAGGGCAGCCCCCCCACTTCCCACAGCGGAACAAGAGAAAGTCAGGAGCACAGCCATGGTTGGGGAAAGTGAAGATGTGCAGAATGGTTCGATGTCTGTTGATCCAACGCTCCCCAATCACCCCCTTGCCCTTTCTCCCATCTCCCACCAGTTCTTCCACACCTTAGATGGGGTGGGGTGGGGTGGGGTGGGTGGGCCTTGGCAGCAGAATGA